TGTTGCAGTAAAAAGTAATTTTTGCAAACAAAGTAGTGTGATTTTCGAACAAAAACACGGATTGGAGTCTCAGAACTATACGGTCAGATAGGACCAGAAGCCGCCACTGGTCCTGCGGCTACGCTCGGCCGGCGCCACGTCCACTGACCAGGAGGTGGAGCGTCCCGGCCAAGGAGGCAGAAGACGGCGCAGCCCAGGCAGCTGGCCAATCACCAGACGCCTCTGCGGCACGTGCGCCACGCACAGACCAATCAGCAGACGCTTCTGCGGCTCGCGCGTTACGCACGGACCAATCAGCAGCGCCTCCCGCGACTGGCTCCGGCCGGCCGCTGGAAAATGGCCGTAGAAAAGAGGCACACCCGCCGACACCTTAGGGCTGGTCAGTGGCGTTCGGTGGTGTGGTGGCAGCACGGCACGGGGTGGGGCCGTGATGACATGTCGTAGACGAGATGGTCCCGCTATTCGCGAAAAACCTCAGGGGGGCGGATATCCGCCCCTCCCCCGTCGGTGCGCGTGTTAAATGCTTTTAAGACAGGCTGACGAAGAAAGACGAACGTCTTTCGAAAGCTCCCGTAACTAATAAACGAAGCTGGTGTTTTGAATGTTTTTATGCTAGAATGTCTCTGCCCTAGCTAAACAATAGCATTTATAACTACATGAAGTACCAAAAGAATACGAGCTGGCAAAAGTAATGTCATAGCTTTTTTGAGTCAAAAATTATTGCCGAAAAAACGTTTTTCGTAAAAACGGCTATTTTTGGAGTTTTTGCCCTCTGGAGGCTAAACCGTTGACCTGAGGTCAAATCTGTGAACATTACTCAGAAAGGTCTGTAAAAGGGCTATCGAATGCGTTTTTTTTTTGCGGCGCCGCGCTGTAGCTCTATCGGTTCCCGAGATAGCCGCTGGCAGTTTCCAAAATGTTGAAATAGTCAACATTTTACCTTTGGTGACCTCTGGTGACCTGACCTTTGATCTGACCCAAAAAATGACCTAAGTGTTTTCTTCCTTATTTTGGACGTTCTTTCGATTGCCGCTTACCGCGTGTCGCTACGTGGCCCAGGAGCCGAGTTAGAAGGGGGAGTGTTCAAACCCCCCCCCCGCGGCCCGGCGCGGAATCTCAGAGCACCGGCCCGGCGCGGGTTAATGTCTGCATATCAAGAGAAAGAGTGGGTTTGGTGGGTTTCACGGTAGAAATCTGCACGCCACCGTTTGCCACAGTTTATCGGTCAGGTCCCAGCTGCCATGAATGTGTCACACGCCTGACGAAGAGTAGGGTAAGGGCGGGTAAGAGTACGCGGGCGATAAGAGTACGCATCAGCTGTTTTGGTTGCTTAGCAACGCGGGCTTGTCGAGTTCATGAAGTGACATGAAGCCGCCAGTGCGTGCTTGTCACCAACGGAACGTGGGCGTTGAGCGGTGACGCTGTTGAGTTTAAGGCGATGAATATTATTTTCGAGCGTTATGATATTATTATGGTATGGTACAATAATTTTGATACTTGGCAGTTGAGATAAGGTACATTTCCGTGATTGTTGTGGGAAACTTGTGAGGTTATCTGGGGAAATACTATGCAGTGCAATATTCTGTTTGCGAAGTTTTGCACAACGTTTCGGGGTTGTTTTGTGCGCGAATTGCATGTACGGTAAGAGGACGCACTGTTCAGGAGGGTAAGAGTACGCAGAATTATACATTAAATCGAATATACCTACAGAAATATGAAATTATTAATCTATCGCTCAATGACGTTTGTTTTGTAGGTATATCATCAATGGAGCACTGTGATGCAGATGCGTACCCGAAATTCTTCCAAATACGAGTTATTCTCCCTTTTGATTGTACATTTTTTTTTTAAGAAACACACGACATGATTATTTCCTGATTTATAGACTTCAAAGATTTATTTTATGTTTTTCTTTTTGGATACTAGAATTAACTTAAATGCCTTCTGAGTTTGAAGTCAAGCATTTGGACAGTACAAGCTGCATAGGTGTGTGTTCATATGCTTGCGTACTCCACCCGCCTGGCGTGCGTACTCTTACACACCCCAGGCGGTAAGAGTACGCAACTGCAGCGGTTCAGAAAATGTCAGTTTTAGACCACTTCCATTTACGCTGAAGGATCGTTGCCCCATGGGTTGATGGCTAATTCAATGAACTTTAATATTCCCTATTTGCGAGTTCTTTCTTTCAAATATTAAACAAATGAGAGCAAGAAATCCACTAAGTGCGTACTCTTATACGACTTCACCCTATAGCAAACAGAGCTACCGGGGCCCGTCAGCAGCTCTTTACAGATCAATGTGACTGCACCCTGATTGGTGGCATTCTATGATGTCTTACAGTGATGATAACCTACCACAAGCCTTGGTAGCTTACCGTTGGTGGTAGACAGAGCCATTAGTGCTTTACCAGATCCATGGTAGAAAATAAATTTTCCGTGACAAGCAGCATGAGGTAGAAGCACGAGTATTTCAAGCAAGGTACTACTCTTTCGGTGTAAATCTAAAATAGCTTTATCAAAAGCACCGATAAATTCATTTTTGATTGAGGCGTCACATATTTATTTGACTTTTGCATACTTCACTGCAGGCTCAAATGCAAATGCATTTTTTTTCAAATGCAGGCTGCAATTTTCAAAGCCAGAAAAGTGTCGGTTTTCACCCACGGAAGACGCGGCGCCATTGTCTCTCGGTATGTACCGAGGTGTGAGCAGCAGCTCAATTCCTGCAGTTTATCGAGAGGGTGGTAGTTACCTTGGTCGGCTCCCTGACAGTGCCAGCGGCAAACGACCAGTGCAAGAATGAATGTCGCCACCCACTGTGCCCTTTACATGGTCCTCGGGTAAACTGACAAAACGTGCTAAATGGCCATAACCCTCGCATGTGTGCGGCGTTTGCCAGCTTCTAATGTGTAGGGGGGGGGTCGGTTGGACCCCCCCTTGCCGTTTGGCCCCTGATCGAGCTAGAGCTTCGCGGAAAAAAAACGAGCGTGTTGCCCGTGACGAGAGGAAGCCGATGATACCCAATTTTAAGGTCCTAGGTCATTGGTTGACCTTCCAGGTCAGGTCAATGACCCAAAATCGGGAAAACCGGGACCTGTTAGAAAGTCGTAAATTGTGGTTGCTAAGGGTTTTTTTCGGGGTGCTGATCACGAATATCGTGTTAGTTTTGATCCCAGATGGTGTCTTAAAGCATTTAGACCAGGTCGGGTCAGGTCAGGTCAGGTCAATCAGTAGGCGTCGTGACGGGTATTCGTAGTACGTGTCAACCGCCTCTGACAGCTTCGTAACATGTTACGAAGGCACCAAAACTACTTCGTAAATATTCAAATTGTTGCTAAATTGGAATTCAGCTCCAAAAACTAGCCTAGAAATATGTACAGCTCGAAAAAGTGAACCGAGGTCACCCGAGGTCACCAAAGGTCAATGACCTGACCTGACCTTCATGTGACCTTGACACCCACCCTAATGCATGGAAGCAACATCAATTCACATGTTTGAACGTTTGAAACCACGAAAAGCTTGCAAACGCGCGGCTAATGCCGGCGAGCCGACATACGCAGAATCGCGATTCCGGCCAAACATGGTCTCGGAAAAGAGGTCACAGGTCAAAGGTCATTTGGGTCAGGGTCATGAAATTTTCAGGGTAGGTGTAAAATTGATCAATGTGAGGGTACTGAAAGTTTTGTTGCGATCGGCCGCTTTTTACGCGAGTTATTCGCGAAAAACCATGGGGGGGTCCATGCGACCCCCCTACACATGCGAGGGATAAGTTCCGGTACGGTGCTCCGTGCCGATTTTTGTTTGTCACCGACTCACTTTATTCCCGTTGAGAACAAATTTCGCACAGTGTCGCACTGGCGACCCGTGTGAACTTGTGCGAGTGTAAAATACAAAACACGATTTGTCAACGTTGTCGGCGGGCCGCCGAAGCACCTCGGTTGTCGTCCCGGCCCGCGGCCGCCCGCCGCGCTGGCCGGCGCGCTGTGACCCAACCGCCACGCCGGGAAACCTTTCCACCTGTTCTCACCGGCGCCGCACGCGTCTCCCGCTCGCACAATGCGCCAAATGGGATTTCACGGACGGCTGAGCACGAATGCGGCGCACTGGGGGCGAGCGCGGCGCACGCCCCGCCCGGTGTGCGTCACAATGGTCACCGTCGGCTCGCGCTGGCGGCGGTCGCGGCGCAGCGGCGGCGGTGGGTCTCTGTCGGGTCAAGGGCGGGGAGGGCGCCGGCGGCGCGGTCACGCCTGGCTGGAGGGCGCCGGGGCGCCGCGGGGCACCAGGTGGTCGGCAGGTGCCGGCGCCCTCCCCCGCCGCCGGCTCACCTCCCCGCGGCACGCACCCTCCTCCGCTGCTCCGACGGGGAGGGGCCGCTGCCGGCTGCAGGCCGCGACACCGCGACTCCGCGGCGGCGGCGGCGGCGGCGGCGGCGACCCTTTGTTCACGGCCTATGCAAATCGAGCGGTCCTTTTGCGCCACCGCTCACCATTACCCATTTACGCCTATCATCGGTTTTGTTTTTCAACCGTTCATGCCTGCTCGTCAGTCGCCACTAAGTATTGTTTTGCCGAGTTGCAGAGTTGTCCCGGGTACTGGGGAAGGGGAGGGGTGGGGTGGGGTGGGGGGGACTGCACATCGACCGGCGGTCCGTGTTGTCCCTGTAACCCTGGTGACCCCCCACTGACGTCATCAGGCCGGGACACCGCGCCGCCGACTCACTGAACACGCTAGAGTCTCCTCGCTACGGGACAAGGCCCATTGGAACCCGGACATCCAAGTCCTTGACGAATGTAGAGAGTTCCCATTTTATTTTGTTGTTGTTGCTGACTAGCCTTTACGAGGCAACAGTGCACTTACATCTCAAGTGTTCCATGAACGCCCCGGCTCCCCATTAGTTACAGTACGACGCCGGTGACCGGTAGGGGCGCTGCAGTCGCCCAGCGGCCCGAGGTCGGCGCTAACCGGTACCATGACTCAGCGGCGCCCCGCCCCGGGGTAATTACATACTGCGCAGTTGCAGCGGTCCAGACCGGGACAAGGGCGACGGAGGAGCACGGGCTGCACTGCGTCCACCGGCCGGGTCAGTCGACAGAGTGGGTGGTCCAACAGTGTGTGGACGGTACTGAGCTCTGTCCACCGGAGCCGACCACGGCGGAGGCGGCGAATATCAGGTGAGCCGGACCGACCTGTGTGTGTGGGGGGGGGGGGGGGGGATCTGTGTGTCCCTGTGTCTGTTGTCTGAGTGTGTTTTGTGCGTCTGTGTCTATAGTGAGACCATAGGTGTTTACCTATGTAACGGTGTGTATGTGATGGTGTGAGTCTTTGTGTGTTTTCTCTGTGTGCTAGGTACCCGTCTGAGTGTTTGGATGTCTGTGCTTATATGAATTAACCCGCGCTCTGGTGGGGTCTGTTTATAACGCGACCTGGTGGGGGGGGGGGGCTATTTTTTGCCCCCCCCCCCCTCGTATCTCCGAAACTACTGGACGGATCCGCAAAATTCAAACGGCGTTCGAAAGGCCTGTCAAATTTGTCGAAGGAAACCAAATTTCATTGACCTCGGGGTCACCGATGACGTCACAGGTCAGGTCAAAGATAAAATGTTTCACCGTTCACGGGTCTACTAGGGAATGCGCTATAACACCGAGGAAAACGCATTTTGTCGAGAATCAGCGATAGGGCGTCAGTTGCCAAGTAGATATGTTGCTATTAGAGGTCACTGACAATACCAGGTCAGGTCACAGGTCAGGTCACCAAGGGTCACAGGTCAGGTCACATGAACCCAACTTTACTAAGGTTGTGTGATGCATGTTTTATGGCCAGTTTTTGATTTCCAACTCAATGATGTTGGTTATAAGACCATCAGGTACGGTTTAGGTCACTCTCTGGTGGAGGTCAGGTCAAGGTCAGGTCAAAAAAGGTTAAATTTCAAAGTTGATATTTTTGCATAAAATGGGTATTGATTCGCTGCAGCTCGTCACGGGGAGTCTAATGGTGGTCTTTGTTTTGCGCTACGGGGTATATAATTGCTAAAAATTGAGTTTGAAAATTTGACGTCATAAATTTTGAACAGTTTTTTTTCGCTATACCTTTGCCAAAAAAAGAGGTATCAATCTAAAATTTGGTATGTGGATGGAAGGCGGTAAGGACTATCACATATATTCCGGTTTTTGCGAAATTCAAAAAACTTTTTGGATTTTTCGACTATTTTATCCAAAAAATCTATTTTTTTTATTTTTGGGGGTCAAAATCCTAAAATTTCAAAAATCCGAGATAGCAGTTTTGTAGCCCCGTCAATTCTACAGCTTTTATGTCCGTGTCATTTTTCTGTATTTGCAAAGCTATAGGCCTGACAGCTCTTCCTGCGAAACCCTTTTTTGGGTCGAAAACGGCAGAACATGACGTCACTCTGACGTTATTTCCGGCCAACCTATCATAGCTTTTGGAAAAAAAAATTTGGTCACAATGTGTAAAATTGATGTCCGGGAGGGTACTGAACGTTTGGTGACGATCGGCGCAGCGGTTCTGGAGATATATCGAAAAGTCTGGAGGGGGGGGGGCAAAAAATAGCCCCCCACCAGGTCGCGGGTTAACGGGGAAGAGGGCATAGGTGGCGGAACGGGGAGGGGGAGGGGAGCACCGGGGAACCGTGCCAACTTGATTTCGGCATTTTAACATAAGCCTTATGGGCGTTGCATGGAAAGAATGGGACCAAACGTCGGCAATGCCCCCACCCCACCCCCACCTTAATTGAAGGTGTTCCGCGCTACTGGGGAGGGGGCAAATGTCCCGCAGTGGCTGCCAGTTGCCCCTGCAGTGAAGAGATTTTGCCCACCCTGTCGGAGTGAATATAATGCGCTTCAAATATTCTCCAAGCTGTCAAACCCGATGTGAAAGTCAATCAATCCTATATGATATATCCTTTTCATATTTTGTCGCCGGTGTTTACACTGTTCTTAGCCTAATATCGTAGAGAACATCCAGCGGCGTATCCACAATCTTGAGATTACCTTTACCTTAGGGTAACCAGTGGAAACTTTTTAGCCCGCGCCATGGTGGGGGTATTTTTGCCCCCCCCCTTCCAGTCGTTTCGCATTATCTCTCAAACCAATGCGCCGATCGCCGCGAAAATTTCAGTACCCTCTTGTAAATCGATTTTACACTTTGTGACCTTTTTCCACACCCTATGATAGGTTGGCCTTAAATGACGTCAGAGTGACGTCATGTTCAGGCATTTCCGACCCAAAAGAGGTTTGGTGGGAAGAGCTGTCAAACCCAAAGTTTTGAAGATAGAGAAAAATGTTGGAAAACAAAAAGATATAAAACAAGCAGCGCTTCAAAACTGCTATTAGTTTTTTATATATTTGTTTATATTTTGAACCCCAAAGTAAAAAGTGATTTTTGAAATAGACCCCTGAAATAAAAGACGGATCTTTTTGTTAGCCCACGCCCCGTTGGCGCGCACGAATTGCTCGTGAAACACATATTTTGCTATTTGAGGTCACTGATACCAGGTCAGGTAACAGAGGTCAGGTCACTGAGGATCACAATATGAAAGTGGCGTGTAATACATGTTTAATGGTCCAGTTTACATGACAAATGTGATTATGTGGGTTATGCAACCTTTGAGGCCAGTTTTAGGCTACGTTCTGGTGAAGGTCAGATCAAGTTTTAGGCTACGTTCTGGTGAAGGTCAGATCAAGTTCAGGTCAAACTAGGTCAAATTTTAAAGTTGATATTTTATAAAAATAAGTATTGATTCGATGCAGCTCGTCACGGGAAGTCTAATCGTGGTCTTGGTTTTGCGCTACGTGGTCAGAATTGCTAAAAGTGTGTTTTGGAAATTATACGTCATCATTTAAGAACAGTTTTTTTCCGCTATAACTTAGCTAAAAAGAGAGGTATGTATCTCAAATTTGGTACGGATAGAAGACGATAGGGACTATAATATTTATTTCGTTTTTTTTCGAACTTTGAAAACCTTGTGGAATATTTTTTTGCTATTTTATCCATCCCTTATTCTATGGGGTAAAAATCCAAATTTTTCAAAAGTATGAGATTGCAGGTTTATAGTTCCATTAAATTTGCACTTTTTATTTACAAAAATAAACTTTTTTTGTGTCTTCAAAACACAAAACGTCTTTCTGACGTCATTTGTGGCCAGCCTATCAAAGTTTTTAGGAACTGTTTGGTCACAATGTGTAAAATGAATGCCCGGAAGTGTCCTAAAAAATTGGTGACGATATCTGACAAAACTGGTGTCTGGGCTGTATCAACTGGCGTCCGCGCTGTCTGCACTGCGGCCAGTGTCGCCCCGCCCTACTGTGATCACGTGATGTTGTGACCGCCGACCGGGTCAGTTCCCAGGCCGGCCGGGTCAGTTGGTGCTTGGCAGGCAGCCAATACACGTCTCTGGTGGACACGGACTCTACACCCACAATGGCCTCACTGAAGGCCTATGCTGACCTCTCAGGGCCCACGATGGCTCATGAGAGCCCTTGAGTAAGCCTCTAAAGGCCTCCTCCGCTCTCAGGGAACCCATGCCGGTTTTGGTAAGCCTGTGCAGGCCTCTGAGAGGTCATGCCGGCATCTAGGGTTCCGTCTCGACCTCAGAGGGCTGAAACATGCATAGGGGCTACAGTCTGACCGTCGAGGCCCTCGAGGTGGCCTCTGATGTCCCAACGCCTGCCTCTGAGGGCCCAGCGCCAGCCTTAGAAATCAAAAGACAGAGGGCTCCACGTTGCCTAAGAAGGCCCACATTGTGCTCAGATAGCCCCAAGCTGTTCTCAGAGGGCCTCGATCTGACCTCAGAAGACCCCACGCCGCTGGTCTTAGAGGACCCCACACTGGCCTTATATTGCCCCACGCTGGTCTAAAAGGGCTACGCACTGGCTTCTTTGGGCTCCACGTCCGTATTTGGCCATTTAGGGTCCCAAAGCGGACTCTAAATGACCATGCTAGCCTCCGACGGCTCGACTTCGGCTTCTGAGGGCCCTACGCTGGCCTCGAAACCTTTGGTAGAAGTTTGTTTAGACATGTTTACGGATGCTTAACTGATTAGGCAGGATTTTGGTATACCTTTACCTACGGTATATGGTATGTATGTTAGGTGTGGTGTCAGGGGCGTCGCCGACGGGGGGGTCGGGGGGGTCGCGACCCCCCCACTCGTCAGAACCGGGGGGGTCGACCCCCCCACTTTTGGCGATGCTGAGTATGCTTTTTTTAGCTATCATGTCAGGGAAGTTGGCGTCAGCAACATCAACAAATACAACGTCAGATTCAGAATCGCTTCAAGAGCTCCCTAGTCCCTATTGCTTATAGGTCAATAAGCTGTGGGCTGGAACATCAGCATGACAATATGATTCTAGTCCCTTTTCATCCCTCAAATGAGGGAGCGCGTCAAAACTGACCCAAGCGTTCGTCTTATTGTCAAAATAATGGTTGCAGTCGATTCGTCGGATGACGTATCAGTAACTACGAAGTACCTGGCTAGCCTCAGCCCTGCTACCCTCGGACCTGCCTGCATTGGGGAAATGGGGTCAATGGTGGATCCCTCTGGGACTTTCCTAATAAGACGCGCAAAAAGGAGTATATTGCAACGAAACTTCCAGTGACCTCGAGTTAATGAATTTTACACCTACTCTAAAAATGTATTGGCCCTGATTCGAATATGGATGACCTTGGATAACTTTTTTGAGTTTTATTTGCTTCCACTTACAAGTGTAGTTTTTGGGGCTGATTTCGAGTTTAGCGCCCGTTTGAACATAATACCTAAATAGTTTTGATAAATGGTGGTTATGTAACATGTTACGAAGTTATCGTTGGTGGTTGTCAGTCACCCACTCTAGATGGCCGGCAAGAAGCCTGCTGGTCGACCTGACCTGACCCGACCCGATCTCATCGAAACTATAGTTCGATGTTATAACATCGAACTCGTACTCGGGACCCTGATAACAGCTGTGGCTCACTAAGTTCTAGCACCTATCCGTGCTTCTATCCTCAGGATACTGAAATCCTTCTCCTCCACGCCGCAACCCCACTCCGGGCTGGACAGGCAACTTTATCTCATGCGGGCTGCTCCCTTGGAGCGGCACCGCTGCTCCTAAGGGAGCGCACCCCGTAGCCGGGTGCAGTGAGTGCCTTGGGGCTGGGTGGCCTGTCCCCTGGACGGGCTCAGCCCCGGCGACTCACTACACTGTAAAAAATGCTAACAAACCAGTTAGTTAATTCTTCAAGCAAAATCTAGTATTAAAACACACGTTGTTGCAAAAAAACGGGTCAGGTAACACATATGTTTGCAACCTAACACCACATCCATTTCATCGAGCAGAAAAGCTAACATCATTGTAAGCCGACAAATATTATCCGTGCAAACCATGCCGTGTTATTTGACAAACATGTTTGTTTATGCTTCCTTTGCCTTTTTTTCTGGGTAACGTGTTAACTAACAAATCAAACGCATGTTGTTACTCACAATCTTAGTTTTCTTACTACCCTTTTTGTTGTAGCATTACAAAGACCTTAGTTAATTGAAAAAATCGCCATTTTGTGCGCCCCTCTGCGCCCGCCATTGTTCAGTCTGTGCCAAGTCAGAGAAGGGAGAGGACGCGTGCGTTGTGAAGGAGCTGAGCTGTGGCGTAGGTATAAGTGTTGCGTGTGCAGTATAAGGAGCTGTTGTGGTGATGCAGAAGTGGTGATACTGTGGTGATACATAACCCGAATAAGAATAATAAGAAGTCAAACAGTGAAATGATATGGATTGTTGGACATGGCTTTCATCCTTACTGGTATGGTGAGTGATTATGGGAAAGATCAGTGGAGATATTGCTGGCGTTTTAGTGTGGTTTATGTATGTCACTCATTTTCTTTTCAAATGAAGCTCCAACCAGGCTTTAGAGGGTCTCAGGTGGGAGACACTGTTCATTTGTTGACTGTCAATTGACGTCTATAAGTACATATGACGGACTGAACAATGAGCATGTTGCACACTAAAACCGCATTAAGCTTTGAACAAGAAATTAAATGTACCTAATTTTTGGTTGGGCACTCAACCAGCGAACGCGGTGAGGTGCTGTTTTATGCAATTCCTGTCACTGCAGCCATGTTGTCAAATAATTTTTTTGTAGACACATGAGCCACCATTGTTCGGTCAGTGAATTTTTGCCCTTTTGTTGCAATTTAGTTTGCCCATATCGACAGAAATGAAGCATTCTCAATGTTTTCGTAATAGGTATTTGGAGCCTGTATGGTGTCATGGCTGGTGCGGATTCCTGCAGGCTATATATAGTTGCAGGTGTGAATCAGTGCAGATTTGTCACCATGACCGGTGCAGATTACCGACTGATTTATGACGTTGGTTGGCATGAGGTTGGTTGCGTTGCTTTATACGTTGGTTTGAATAAACATCTTTGTATTTAAATACTCGTCTGTATGATACTTTTTTTTTAATAAAAATTTCGACGCGTGTCGCAACACGGTGTGTGAAAACGCACAACATGTATATATACTGTAAAACATATTTGCACGTTTCGAGTCATCCTGGCAAATCTCACTAACCAAATGCGTGTAAACTTGGTATTTACCACACTGCATCCCGAAGTTAACACGCATTTGGCTAATGATATTTGCCTGGATAACGTGTGCACATGTGCAAATCTTGGCAGAAGCTTGTGAATCTTACTCACATTTTGCGTGTAAGCGTGTTTTCTTCTGTGTGTGTTATGTAACACCGAAGTTAGTTATCCTGCAACTAGGCGATGCCTAGTTGCATGATAACTAACTTCGGTGTTACATAACACGCACAAAAGGAAACACGCTTACACGCAAAATGCTAGTAAGCTTCACACGCTTTTGCCTAGTGAGATTTGCCAGGATAACTAACTTTTTAGTTACTTTACACGCATAATATTAGTACATTGACAGGTAGATATTAGTTAAGTTACACGGTCACACGCAAAAGGCGTGTAGGTCAACACCACGTCGAAAACTAATGTCTTAGTTTCATAACACGTTTTTTCTTAAAAGCGTGTTTTATAAAACACGTTTGGCCAATAGATGCGTGTAAACTTTACACGCTTTAGGTTAGTGAGATTTGCCATGATAACACGGAAGTTAGTTAACATTTTTTACAGTGTAGGGTGCCTGCCCAGACCAATGTCTCCCCCTAATTCCTATCATCCTTCCGGCTCTGCAATGGTCTTGTCGACCGAAAGGGCCTAACCCAACAAAACAAACAAACAAACAAAAGTTCTAGCAGGCGGCCAAATTTTTCCTACTTTTGGGCGTTGACCTAAGATGACCCGGCCAAGACCTTGAAATTGGGCATCATCGGCTTTTTCTCATCACGGGCAGCATTCTCGCTCTTCCGCGAAGCTCTACCTCGATCAGTTATCTCGATCAGGGGCCGAAAGCATGCCTTAGCGTTACGTTGGTAAACGTTTTACCTTAGCGACCCGTAAAATACGAATAAGAGCTACAGCAACACAGAAATCGTATTCGATAGCTTTTTTAAAGCTCTTTCGCCAACTTCGCCTCAGATATGACTTCGGGCTATGGCTTGTGTACCATAGAGTTCAAACAGCTAAACGGACTGATTTTGCCGAAACATTTGTTCCGTAACAACCTATGATTCAGTGAATGTGTATGATATTCATGTTATCACCATCGTTTTTGTTTCGTCGAAACACGTCGCATAGCTTACAATTTGAACTTATCATGACCTGACCGGAAAAGAACCTGCTGCATATGGATCGATCTGTGTTACTGAGCTGAACACACTCCAGTGCTGCCATCGCTCTACACCGTCTCCATCGAAAGTTGTTGTCGAAAATGTGTTAGAGACCTTTGATGACCTAATCACTGACCATTCCAGTCACCACTGGTCATTAGCTGCACCTTGTCTCTAAAATGAACAAGGTGCCATGGCTACAAAAGTATCTAGCGTTTTTAGCATATTCTTTCAAAGCAAAGGGCATCGTGCTTTTTCCCATATCTTATCATGATTGGTGAGGTCACATACCTATTTGACCTGACTTTACTTCTCAGATGTAAAATCCCAGATTCATGAACTGTTGGCACTTATAATCCCATTCATTACACCAAATTTCAGACTTATAGGAGTCAGGAGATAATCTATGGGAATGACAAGATTGCAGTTTTTAGAGGCATTAAAACTGAACTTGACATTGTGACCTGACCTCAGGTGACCTGTGCTTGATTTTTATGCACGATGCAAAATTGATGTACAATAAGATATAGGCCGCTGCTTTCGCGGTGCAGCGCGCCGAGGTTTTTCTCCGGGTACACGAAAAAAAAAACCGAGAGTGTGGCTAAAAACACCCCTACCCATCAAGACGAAGACCGGAAACCCGACCCCCCCACTCAAAAATCCGTGGCGACGCCCCTGTGTGGTGTAAAGGTTCGCGTATACGGTGTATATTAGGTGGTATAATATGACATTCTGGAGTCTGGTTTGTCCCCATCTGCCCAGTCGAAATTCCTTAGCCGAGGTCCTGCTGTGTGACTGTATGTGTGACTGTCTGTGTGACTGGCTGTGTGACTGTCTGTGTGTCTGTGTGACTGTCAGTGTGGCGTATGTGTGACCGTGTGACTGTCTGTGTTACTGTCTGTTACTGTGTCAGTCCTGCTGTGTGACTGTCTGTCTGACTGTATGTGTGACTGTCTGTGTGACTGTCTGTGTGACTGTATGTGTGACTGTCTGTGTGACTGTCTTGTGTGACTGTCTGTGTGACTGTCTGTGTGACTGTCTGTGTGACGGTCTGTGTGACTGTCTGTGTGACTGTCTGTGTGACTGTCTGTGTGACTGTCTGTGTGACTGTCTGTGTGACTGTATGTGTGTGTGTGACTCTGTCTGTGTGACTGTCTGTGTGACTGTCTGTGTGACTGTCTGTGTGTCTGTGTGACTGTGTCAGTCCTGCTGTGTGACTGTCTGTGTGACTGTCTGTGAGACTGTCTGTGTGACTGTCTGTGTGACTGTCTGTGTGACTGTGTCAGTCACTAGATTTGAACAGGGGCGAGATGTCGTATGAGTTCACCTACCCTATACATCTGGTGTTTCTAAGTGCATCAGGTCAGGAGCTAATCGCCAAAGGTCGAACCGGCCCCTCACCGTCCGCGTTATGAAAAAGACCCAGCCAAGGGTAAACATTCGTACTGATAAACGTTTCTTTATTATCTCGTTTTTTTTTTTTGCGAAAAAAAAACTAGTAACGATAGTAAATTTCTATATTGGTTACCTAAGACCTGTTTGCCTGCCTGCCAAGCTTGCCTGCCTGGTATGCTACAATACGGGTTGCATGACAAAATATGTCGTAATACGTAATGACATGTCGTTTTGTGACGTGATTAGACACGACGCTGCACGACATGTCGTAATGCGTACGACGTAACGCTACGTACTAGGCCACTGATTTATGATGAGTAGAAACGTAAAAAACTGTAATTATGCGTTACAGATGGAGATGACAGAAGTGCGTAAAGACCTGGTCGCCCTTCGCCGGGAGGTGTCCGCCCTTCGTGAAGTGGTGGCTGCCCTTCGTGAAGAGATGTCCGCCCTTCGGGAAGTGATGGTCCCCCTTCGTGAAAAGGTGACCATTCTGAGTGAGGTAGTGGCGAAAGACAATTCAGACACGAAGAAGCTCAAGGGGGAGAACGCCGCACTTCACGGTGCGATGGTCCGCCTGGAGCAGGCAGCTATCGAGGAGCGGACCACTCGCCAGACCGTGGTGGAGGATCTGCGGCAGGAGGTCCGCCGGCGAGCGGCGCCATCCGGCCGTCCCCAGGGGTGAGACTGGGAGGCAGCAGGGGTGGCTGTGGGGGCTGAGAGAGTTCGGAGAGCTGTCATGGTGAGAAGTAAACTTTCTTTGTAGAAGGTGTAAAAAAAATAAAACATAACTAGGTCATTGAAGGTCGAGTAACTTGTAATTGTAATTTCCGCCCAATCAAAAAAACATGCCTTGAATTCGTACCATCTTTCGTAAGTTAGCCGTTTAGTCTCCATCATATTGTTCCAGTTTTCGACAGCCGTCCTGCATAAAGTTGGCCAGTTCGGGACATCATATCCCGCACGTATTTACATGTCTTCATCAACAATCGTGTCACAAAATATAATCGGTCGTATCAAATCGTTCAGATTCGTATGAAATCAACTCTGAACGATTTTATGCAACCGAATAGATTTGACAACATACTATTGCTGACGACGATATGTAAATGCATATCGGATCATCAAAGGAGCCAACTACAGTTGTGACCTTCTTTTGCATTTTGATTTATGTACTTTTTCTTGTCTTCTCAGTAAAATTACAAAAGCGTTTCATGACGTCACGGTACAGACGGAGCCCCAGTCATCGGCAGTCAGTGACGTCATAGTACAGACGGAGCCCCAGTCATCGGCAGTCAGTGACGTCATAGTACAGACGGAGCCCCAGTCCTCGGCAACTAGTGACGTCACGGTACAGACGGAGCCCCAGCCACCGGCAGACAATGATACCACAGTGCTGAGAGAGGCGCTAAGGACCGTGACGACGTTCGACGCTCCGTCAGCCCTTGGCGAGGACCAGCTGACGGCGCTTCTGCAGAGTCTTCCTCGCTTGGAGGAGCTGACCGTCAGGGTCCCGTCCTTCGGAACGGGGCGGTGGCTGCGGCTGCTGCCGACGTCACTGAGGACGCTATACGTTGCCGGTGAGAAATAGTTGAGGAAACGCGTACTATTACTTCTGAATGGTGGTACTTACATAGCTCACATAAAGTAACAGTTTCAGTGATAAACGTTCAGCGGACATATGTGTGCCATGCTACCTACCTGCTACACAAACATTAGCCACTGTATTGTACATACCTACTTTATACTCTTGCAAACGAATATGACCTGTATGTACTGAACCTGTATGACCTGTATGTACTGAACTGTATTAATTAACTGACGCATGTATAAGCATAGCGCATGCACTGTGCACAGTGTTCAATTACTGTCCAACAGTGCCGATCGACCCTGGCGTTGTCAGTGTCGTCTGTGTCAGGGTTTGACACCACAGTGTCAGCCGCCTCCCGACCCGGCAGCAGCTCCGTCCGACTGCTGTCAGCTGACACAGCTCTGTCCGACAGGGCCGGAGGTGACGAAGTCGATGTGGCCGGAACGGTACGGGAGTGGTCTGTCGGTATCTCTCCAGGGGGTGGCTGCCGACACCATCAGTCACCTGGCCACGGAGCTGGGGTCTCGGATTACCCTACTAGACACAGATGGTGAGCAGCGGGGGAAGTTATTCATATATTAATGGTTAGGAGACCTGATAAGCCAACAGTGGGTGTTCCGGCGCTCGGCGCTCGCTGGCTGTGACGTCACGGCCACCCCAGCGGGCCGCGGCCCGGCTGACCTCCAGTGACCTTGAGACGCGCCGCCGGCTGCGTCAGCTGATTGTCAGCGGTGCGCGGCCGGCGGCGACCCCAAACGCTGCCGGACTGGTCAGGTGCAGGTGGCGCTGCCGGACGCTCCTGAACGGGGCAGGGGGCGATACGGGGACACAAGAACAGGAAAACTGGCCGGCGGCACCGCTCCTTGCTTGTTATTTTTGCTCTAAGGAACTGCTTTTTTCTAGCAAATGTTCATAAATAACGTGGAGAAGCAGTTTATCCCTGAAAATCTAAAGCCTAAATCAAACCAAGAATAACTGGATACAACACATATTACATGTAGGTACTGCAGGTAATGCTGCCTCATCCTAAGGTAAGACGGAAGCCATAAGCCATGGCAAGCTGTAGGATGACAAGTCGTGTGCCGTGTGGTGAATGGTGATGGTCAATGATTTGGGCCTCTATTGGACGTAATATTTACGCTACAAATTTTATAACGATACAAAATTGTTATAATTCGCTACACATAAGTGCTGAACAAAATACTTAGGTGAAAAGGTTTCAAAAACTGTCATATTGATCAATTGACATCATGAAAATATGCCTAGTTCGGAATATAATGCACTAATTAGTGGTGATTTTGTTTTATATGTCAAAGACCCATTATCATTGTATGTACTTTATCAAAACGATGTGAATTTCATAAGTTACGGCGACTTTCCGTAACATAATATTCAACAAATACATACATATTTACTCAGACACGAAATAATCACAGCATTGTAGCCACAAACAGTTTTCACTTTGTGTTTTCTACACCTGTAGGTAAGTGTACAATGTTTGACCTAGACAAATGCCTGACATGGGTTCAGTCACCTTTCCAGCACAAGTTACTACTATTCCAAGTCAACTTCGTGGTGCCATCATCAGGGTGGGCCCAAACACTATCATCCTTCCGGCCGGAGTCGGTGACAGCGAGCTGACGGAGCTGCAGATCTCACGGGAGACTGTGGAGCGGCTGTCAGTCACCACCGCCGACCTCCCGCGACTGAGGGAGCAGCTGCCGGAGGGCCTCAGGCGCCTCAATGTCAGAGGTGAGCTACCACGGATCGGATCATACTTACATGCAATGCCGGTATAATGGACAATGCATATAGATATACAAATGGACAGGGAGACGGCAAATGGACGAACCGATCAAATTCAGCCAACAACACACAGCGTTGCATGTGCATGATATTGGGGGATGGGTTGCAACTTGCAATGCATAGGTACAGTTGTATGCAGTGTATGCATTGCATATAACACATAAACATACAAATACATACAAATACATATGTTAAGTATATATGCATATAATATATGGTGAAAAGTCATATAGATGAGGGCAGATTACATTGCAACCGCTTCGAGTAGTGTAATTCGTTAAACTGCCAATTTGATGTTACCTTTATACCTTTACTGTTTATAACGCAAGTGCTGGGCTGAGGGAATGTCGCAGTTACTTATGTTGTTGATATTCATACATTTGCATATGATAGGTGGTGCCAAATATCGTTGTCCAGCCGCTCGGCTGTGTCAGTGCTGGCTGTGTCAGTGTCTGACACTCTGGTGTCAGTGGTGCAGCGGGGAGCTGGCGGCAGCTCTGTCCGACTGCAGTCAGCTGACACAGCTCTGTCCGACAGGGCCGGAGGTGACGGAGCCGAGGTGGCCGAAATGGTACGGGAGTGGTCTATCAGTGTCTCTCCAGGGGGTGGCTGCCGACACCATCAGTCACCTGGCTGGCCTGGGACGGACGGTCACAGTACTGGATATATACGGTGAGCAGCGGCAGCACGGACAGGCCGCTGATATACGAGATCAGCGAATGGCGGACACCGAGTAACGGTGTGCCGTTGTCGGACCTCATGGAGACAGGCGTGATACATAGCCAATGTGCTTTGTGAAATAATGAAGCAAATTGAGCTCAAAAATGGAGGAGGACTGTACAATCAGTGATATATTCGCTCATAGTTAGTTGAACTACATATTGCAATTGTAATGCAATGTTCAATGCACTTCAATGCATTTTTTTTATAATTTTTTTTTTTATAAATTTAGTCCGAACCTTTTGATGGGAAGGATTCACAAGGACAGAGCCACCGCTAAGCGAAGCTTGTTGCGATGACCCTGCCCTCTACCCTCCGATTGCGTAATTCCGATTCTATGGCAGAATTTAGAGTCCAAATTTTAACGTGCGCACAAAGCCGCGCACGGCCGGTCCCCTCGCTGACTTCGCCTGGCTACGGCCTGCCACCAACCGCAACCATACCTGTCAGGAGGCCCATAAATGTCTGTGTCAGTGTCTGACACTCTGGTGTCAGTGGTGCAGCGGGGAGCTGGCGGCAGCTCTGTCCGGCAGCTCTGTCCGGCAGCATTGGCTGAACTGATCGCATATCCATAGATAACATGAACATTCATAATCATTCATGTTTGATGTTTATATGGCATATCATATAGTTCCACTGTGATACCATTGTCTACTGTATCCATTAAACCATGCGAATTCATAGCTGTTTCGTTTTTTCCGTATATTTACATATATTCCTGCCGACTGATCCTGTCTGTATGTGTGTCTGAGTGTTTTCCAGACTGTCATGATCTCACGGCCGGCAGCCTGGAGCCCCTCACCAGGTGCCGTGAGCTGCGGTTTCTCACCCTGTCCGGCGGCGTCCCTGACACCGTGAGCCTGGAGCCCCTCACCAGGTGCCCTGAGCTGTGGCATCTCACCCTGTCCGGCGGCGTCCCTGACACCGTGAGCCTGGAGCCCCTCACCAGGTGCCCTAAGCTGGAGAGTCTCACCCTGTCCGGCGGCGTCCCTGACGCCGTGTTGGACAGTCTCAGCGGCTGCCCCGGGCTGTGGAGACTTACACTGGGGGACCGCCAGCGGCCGGCTGAGACGGCCTTCACAGCAGCAGCGGTCACCAGGTCAGTCAGCAGACACTGGAGAGGGGTATCCTGTCAGACACTGACACACTGACACTGACACACTGACACTGACACACTGACACTGACACACTGACACTGACACACTGACACACTGACATTGACACTGCCACTGACACACCGTCACTGACACACCGTCACTGACACACCGTCAATGACACAGTGACACTGACACACTGACACTGACACGCTGACACTGACACGCTGACACTGACACGCTGACACTGACACGCTGACACTGACACGCTGACACTGACACAGTGACACAGTGACACAGTGACACAGTGACACACTGACACTGACACACTGACACTGACACTGGCACTGACACACTGACACTGACACACAGACACCGACACATTGACACTGACGCATTGTCACTGACTCCAACACACTGACACTGAAATACTGAAACTGACACTGACTCGTACGTCCGGCCGGCTGGTGCCGCTGTGTTTGTGTGTGACGGCTCTGCTGCTCTGCTCTGTTACAGCCTGGTGAAGTCGTGTCGGAATCTGGGCCGTCTGTACCTTCACTGCACGGCAGACACCACCCGGGCCGTGCTGACCGCCCTGAAGGAGGCGCACCTGCGCCGGGGTATATTCGGTAGCATCGGTCTCCATGTCCCCGGTAGGTGAGAGGGCGCCGCGCGCCGCGCCTCTGACCAGTCAGTCCCTCACAACAGACGCTGCACGGCGCCACCGGCCTCTCAGACACACACACTCGACCACCGCCGCAGGCCACGTCACAAACGGTGACGTAACGCGTCACGGCCACCACGGCCGATGGTGACGTCACGTCAGCCGTCTGTCCTGTGTGTGACGTCACTGGCCGGCGGTGTGTGGACATGGCTGATGGCTGTACCGCTGTCTGTGTGTCTGTCTGTGTGTGAGATGTCCACCTCAGACGTGTCTCTGCTCTGTCCACAGGTGAGCTGTACCGTCAGCTGAAGAGACAGGAAGGCGATGGGGTCAAAGTGTTTGAGTGGAAGCATTGATGCGCTGCACTACCGACCGTGCAGTGATGAGCTGACTGCAGAGAGGCCGAGCCAGTCGGCCGGGGCCGCCAGCTGACTGCTGCCGTGTGTGCTGCACCAGCCGGCACTGAGAGCGGCGCCGGTCAGCCGGCACACGGCCCCGGTGTCCGCTCTAGTAGTAGTAGTAGTAGTAGTAGTAGTAGTAGTAGTAGTAGTAGTAGTAGTAGTAGTAGTAGTAGTAGTAGTAGTGTAGATGTAGTAGTAGCACACAGTTGTGATGTAGTGGGTAATTACCGGGCGGGTATTGTGGGTAATTGGACGGAAGATGTGATGCAGTGGGTAATTACCGGGTGGGTATTGTGGGTAATTGGACGGGAGATGTGATGTAGTGGGTAATTGCCGGGTGGGTATTGTGGATAGTTGGACAAGAGATGTGATGTAGTGGGTAATTACCGGGTGGGTATTGTGGATAGTTGGACAAGAGATGTGATGTAGTGGGTAATTACCGGGCGGGTATTGTGGGTAATTGGACGGGAGATGTGACCTAGTGGGTAATTACCGGGCGGGTATTGTGGGTAATTGGACAGTGAAAGTGATGTGATGGAGTGTATACTGATCGTGACATTACGATAGGTACTCTGTATGTAGAACACACCTCTAACCGGCGTGAATGCGGGCCCTCTCGGACTGTCCGACTCGGTTCACCGCGCCTGGTCCCGGCGGCACGGCCGGCCTCGGTCACGTGACCGTCCCCCGGTGGAGTCGGACGGCTCGGTCACGTGACCGTCCCCCGGGTCTGGCTGCACCTCGGCTCGGCGGTGCTGAGCGCCGTGCTGAGCGTGTTGTGGCACGTCCCACACGGACAGCTCTACTCGACTACTGGCTAGCTGCCGTCCGAGCTGGCAGTATACACTAGTGATGTCAATTACGGAAAATCGGAATACCGATACCAAACCAAATACCAACCAAAACCACGGGAAAATACCGAAACCAAACCAACTTGGGAAAATGAGGGAAATACCAACTTTTTACCGATTTCTTAACCTCGTATACATTAGTGAGGGTTTATGATACCAACAAAATACCGAACACATTACGATTGAAATACCAAATACCAAGTTGGTATCGGTTTGGTATCGGTATACCAAAAAGTTGGTATCCGATTGACATCTCTAGTATACACGCGGTGCCAGTTCAGACGGCGGCCGGCCGCGCCGCGCCCGCCCGCTCCGGTCCCGGCCGGCGGCCGTCACCCGGCCCGGGGCGGGGACCGGTCCGTCAGCTGACCATTGGTCAGTCAGCTGATTGGTCAGTCAGCTGATTGGTCTGTCAGCTGATTGGTCAGTCAGCTGACCATTGGTCCGTCAGATTGGCCAGTCAGATGTCTACTATATACACGAGAGGAGACGCTTCAGCTGTACCATCTGTAGCCTAGGGCAATTAGTTACCGGGCGAGTATTGTGGGTAATTGGATGAAGTGATGCGATTTAGTGGGTAATTACCGGTCGGGTATTGTGGATAATGTAACCCTGGGTATGATATAGCCGGCTATTCAACGGTCGGATATAGTCAGCTGGATGCTACTGAATTGTGTAGAGCTCTTACGGCACCGGTCATAACGAGTGTCCTCGCGTCTGTCCGACTCGGTTCACGGAAGCACGCCGTCACGGCCCGGGTGTGCGCCGCCATGTTTTGTGTCCTCTGCTTCGTACAGGGGGGTAATTGGGCTACCGACCGACTGGGAGTCGGAGTCGGAGTCCGTGTCAATCAAGCTGCCTTGACTCCGACTCCGGAACGGCTTTTTAGATTTTAGTTATCACTTGGCCACGCTACTGATAATCGGCTGCGCTTTGACTAATACATTTTACACATGTCCAGTCTTTGTCCTGGAAAACAGCTACCTTCGGAGCTTACCTCATCATTTGTGCTAATGTCCTGGTGACCTGAGTACAGTTTGGTCGGTCGGCAGACAGACCGACCGGTCACCGCCAGGTCACGGCCGGCCCACTGACAAGCACGCCGTGCCGCCGCCGGGGCCGTGGCCGTGCTCCGGCCGTGCCCTGACCGGGCTCACCGGCTCTGACACACCGGCCTCAGAGATCTGACACCAACTACCGGCTGGACGAGCCGCCGAGCGGCCTGCCGACCGACCGCTCCCGTATGGCAGCGGGCCGCCGCCAGCTGCACCACCCGACACCGACAACAAGCACCGACACACTGTCACAGCACATCCAGCAGCCGGCTTGTCTCGCTGTCAACCACGTGCCCTCGCCTGTCCATCAACGCACTCACAAAATCAACTAATCACCCTCGCCTGTCCATCAACGCACTCACAAAATCAACTAATTATCCTCGCCTGCCCATCAATGCACTCACAAAATCAACTAATCACCCTCACCTGTCCAGATACACACTCACAAAATCAACTAATCACCCTCGCCTGCCCATCAACGCACTCACAAAATCACCTAATTACCCTCGCATGTCCATCAACACACTCACAAAATCAACCGGTCACCTCTCGTCAAATACACACAAAATAATACCGAGCTCACAGCCATTCCCGTATTTATCGGAAAATCCCACCACAGCAGTCACCCCCGTTGCCGTCGTGTGGCCTTTCCGTTGTCGTGCGGGACGATTGTCAGCCCCCGTCGCTGCTGTGGCCAGCGGGCGGCTCCAGCACAGCGGCGAGCGTTACTGGCTGCAGCCGGTGTGTCCGTGCCCACAGCCGGGTGCAGCTGTTGGAGGCCGTGTTGGAGGCCAGTGTGGCGTCACACCGTCGTGCCGTCCCAGTCCGTGTCAGTGTCGGAGTGACAGTGGTCTATATATATACAGTGTCAGCTGTGTCCAGCTGCTGGTGCTCCGACTGTCAGCTGAACTGACACACTGACACCGCAGCCCCTGACAGTGTCAGACCGGCCGCGTATTTACAAATTGCAACCGAGCTCCGCCGTGGGGTAAGGTGGGCAGGGGTTTTCGCACTACGGCTGCGGTTGAACTACCGTCTGTGGTAGAAACTTCAGGACGATGGCGCGTTTCATACGAAATCTGGCGCAATGTTTGTTTGCTTCTGAACTTGTACTGTTATTGCTGTGAATTCTTGAAGTGGGAGTGTTTCAATAACAATTTGTGGATTATTTGAGTTTCTTTATATAAACATAGTATTATGAAACATTGTGTGGAAACTGCAAATACTGATATGATCAATTACTTAGTTTGGGAATTGATGCACATTTTGTAGAGATTTGTCTGGCAAATGGTGTGACAAACCTCAAGCCTATCATGATCTGAAGCTGTTGTAACAAATCAAAATTGCTTTGATGTTACATAGTACCTTGCTGGAAAGACTGGAGCATTGTTCAAGATGATGTGTAAAAATTCAAGATTTGTGCGAAAGCTTGTGACTGAAGAACGAAAGCAGTTCGATATGATGGCTCAATCAAACGTGGAAATGGATGACAAAAGTAGAGTTTCAACGTTCCAGCATGTGATAATAACTTCAGAAATTCATAGTTCTTGTAGTATTGCATTCTTTTTATGTACAGTTATAGGTTTTGTTAGGGTATTTCAAATTCATTGTGTCAGTTGAGATATAGATGGATTGCGGAAAATTTTAGAATCATTGCATGGTAGCTAGGTACTTGTTCGGTAAAAAGGTATGTGATGAATGCCTTGAGAAGGTTTTTTATGATTCAATATATGCTCGTTGTTGTACCTACAAAAATGCAAGCTTACTAGCAACTAGTTTCTGAATCAAATCGAAAGTATATTTTGCCATGAATGTAGATATGTACCTGCAAAGTATGTCAATAAATTTGTGTGATGTTGACCAGAGAGTTTTATCATCTGGGCATTTATGTCGCTTCTTACATTAGGTGTTAAGCATGGTAATTACGGATGAACTTTGTGCCAATATCTTCAATGCACAATGTATGTAGCATGTCTACAACCCTCACTGATCCTGCTATAGCTATAGGCATTTGGCACCAGCTTGACCAAGGGCATGAACTTCACAGTTGCACAACCTTTTGTCATGTACCACCAGTCACTTTTTTACTTAAGGTGCACACAACAATGTGCAGAGGGCCTACACAAAAACAACATGATTAGTGTGCACTATGCACACCTTGATTATTTGAATATTTTGATCACTCAACAGTCAGCAGTCAGGAGATAATTATTGAATATCACAATTTATTATACATCACTTGTCAAACAAGAGCATGATGACACACATTTTGACAAGCAATCATGGTAGTATTCCAATAAGTTGGACAGTCACCTCACCTCCCTGGGCGTCATTTTTCCAGGAAGGTACCTACCTCTGCACTGATATTGTGGTAGGCTAGGTTGAATTGGGTTAAGTTAGGCGAAGTAAGGTGGTTAGGACCAGGTCAGACCGTAAGGCCTGGTCAGGTTGATTTTAATCTTTCATTCTAATTTGACATAGATACCTATTACCTATGTTTTTGCTCAAGCCTGAATTTCATTAGGTAACGAGTTAATTTTGCCTTGTTTTTATCTGTCTTGTTTGGTGTTTTTGTCCCTTATATTTTGCCCCATAGGCAAGGGTGGACCGGTGGAGCTTTTCCAGGGAAGGTGGTGGAGCATGATTGGAGGCGCTCAACCAGACGGCATAGGAGTGCACGGTTTCTGAACGCGCACTGATGCGTGATTCAAGCCACGCTGTCTTCATGCCGGGCGGCGCGCTACTTAAAAGTCCCTAAAAGAACGGGAAGTGATGCCGATAGAACCTTCAACCATTCTGGGCTAACGCTTATGACTTGGAAAAAGTCGCGATCCCAATTCAATCGAAAACCAGTGGGCTCTTGTTCAGCAGAAGGTATATGAAGAGCCACCCGCCATAAGCACTGCTCAACCGCAGGCACAGGTTTAGACGGCGTTGGTCCGCATCAAAGCCAGTGTGCTGGAGAATCCATTGGCTGAAATGCTCCAGAACATTCATCACTGTGTTTTTATGAAAGGTGGCTACAAGCTCAGTTAAAAGAAAAAGTACCATATTGTTTTGCTTTTTAATTACAGCGGGAATAAAGGTGTCCGGATAATTTCGTTACACCCCCTGTAATGTTCAAATGGTTGCTAAATTCGAAATAAGCTCCAAAAACTAGCCTAGAACCATGTAAAACTCGAAAAAGGAACCGAGGTCATCAAAGGTCATTGAGCTGACCTGACCTTCAGGTGACCTTGACACCCACCCTAATGCATGGGACCAGCATCATATCACATGTTTCAACGCTTGAAACCACGTGAAAACCGCAACCGCGCGGCTAATGCGAGCCGACATACGCCGAATCGCGATTCGGGCCAAACATGGTCTCGAGAAATAGGTCACAGGTCAAAGGTCATTTGGGTCAGGGTCATGAAATTTTCAGGGTAGGTGTAAAATTGATAAAATCGGGGGCATTGAAAGTTTCGTCGCGATCGGACGGTTTTTACGCGAGTTACTCACGAAAAACCGATAAAGCGCACCCAAAAAGGCAGAAATATGCACATGCGATATCCTATACTGCGAAAAAAGGTGCATCATTTTTTAACGTCACCGACAAATTGTAATTACCCTAAGCTCAGGCAGATGTATGGTAGAAAATCCCCCAAGTGAAATACACTACGGCGGAAATAAAATACCCTACGGCGGAGCTCGGTTGCAATTTGTAAATACGCAGACCGGCCACCGGTCAGTGTCAGCTGCCGGCACGGAGAGCGGTCCGGTGACACTCCCAGCTGCAGCCCCCTCCCCGTGGCTGGTGCCGCTGCAGTCTTATTGTGCCGGTGGTCAGCTCCGTCAGAATCCACCACAAACAGCTGCCGTCACTCCTCTGCCGCCGCTCCGACACTCTATTCCGGCAGCCGGACACCAAATAGCTGCAGTAGTTAGCAGTGCATTCACTCCACATGGACACACCGCTCCGAACGTCTCGCCAGACGGACCCGTCTGGGCCGGAGGGGGCGGTGAGGGGGACGCGGCCGATCGGACAGACGGCCACAGCGAGACGCGCCACGGCCGGCCCGGCCCGGCCGAGGGACTCAGCCCGCCGGAAACGGAACACACCGTGCACGGCTGGACGATAGCCAGACGCTGCACTGGTCAGGCCGGGCCGGCGGCGGCGTGCCATCGGCCTCCCCGTACTGACCACTCACTCACATACAACAGGCTTAGCGAGCGGTAGATGGACTCACGGGTACGTCTGATCGTAGTTGACATGACCACTGTATCGCCTGTGGCATAACGATACACAGCGCAGTTGTGGTATGATACTGCAATTTGAAGGACGTCTATGCAGTGTTATAATCGATTTGCTGTAATGTGGATGGGTGCCAAGAACAATCAAAATGCAGCCTCTAAAGATAGGTCTTTCCTTATAAGAGTCATATGAATAAATGACATCTGTGCAAGCATATCATGGGTGGAGAATAAGGGGTTTTGGGGGTGCTCGAGCACGCCCCTGAAATTAAAAGGTTACCACGTAATAATGCTCAAATGGTTGCTTGCATTTCATCTGAGACACAAGCTGCTTTGCGTTAGTCGCGAGGATAGTGATGCTGTAGAAAAGGGTGCTTATAATATGTGCTTTACTGCGCAATAATTTGACTCTGCCACTCGCCAGGTGCTGGAAAAGCACCCCCTGGTAGAATTCAGAATTCAGAATGTATTTCAAGCTCATCCAGGTAAACATACACCGGCTTTTCATGTGCTTACGTCAGTTGTGGGATAAAAGGCATACACACACGACACTAATGCGACATAAAACAATGCAAAAGGCAACTAACCCAATGAAAGAATGCTAAAAGGTACCACACACGAGCACGCTCACACCTGCATCTGCCGCGCCTGACCCATGTGTATCCGCA